TTAAAATCAGTTTGCGGAAAGAAAAAGGATTATAAAAAAGTACAGTGACCTGAAAACTACATTTTTGGGGTGTCATCTTTCAAACTGCACAATATTTGGTTACGCAATTATGCATTAGTGCAAGGCAGTGTAGAATTGGCAGTGCTGAAAAGTGTGTAAATTCTCCGAGATAAGTGACAAGGGAAGAAAAACCGGTAAAAATTGTGGAAGAAAAAGAATTAAAAGATACTCTATAAAGTAGGAGGCTTGATTTTCTGGGATACAGAGGAGTGGAGTAGTGTGTGGCAGTGATTGGAAATGAACCCAGCAGATAATTTTAAAACAACTTCTACACAGAATGGAAAATGAAATAGGATAGAGATAAGTAAAAGATTATCAAGCTTAGGTATGTCAAGGAGAGACAGAGAAATGATATGGAAAGAGCTTAACCACGAAGTCAGTCTAACAAGGTCCATATTGGAGTTCTGAAAATTATTAGCTTTGAGACCATGGGGATTATATAACTTCTCAGTGGCTTACTTTCCATATTTGAAAAAAAAAAAGGTTCAAATGTTATAACTAAGACATGGATGAAAATGCATTTTCCTTTTGAATGAAAACTGCCATGTGAACTAGGACATGGGTGTTGCAATAAGAAAGGGGTTTCCTCTTCTAATGGACTGATTTATTTTTAAGATTAAAATTCTTTTGAAAGAGCAGTCCACTAGAATATGGTGTATAGGATACTGAGGTGCAGAGATATAAAAATGCATGTATTTCTTTATATTTATGTAGAAATAATTATTTGAGAGATATAAAGCTGACTTTTTTTGTAGCTATTAAATTTTGCGTTTGTTGCTGCTGTTTTCACTTGGTTTTGCTTTTCACTTCAGAGCTGTGACTTCAGAGCCACATGTCTTCAGGTATCTTATCTAATTAGGTTGAGAGTTTGTGTTTGCATTATGAAGGGAGGAGTATTAATTTCATGGTGATTTTGTGTAGATGATAGAGATAAAAGCATATAGCTGTAAGAGAAATACATTATACTATCACTATGTTTATTCAAATCTTGTAGTGTTCAAAATTATATTCCTTCATTTTCAAAAAATAAAAATCAGACTAATCTGTAAATATTCTTCTAAAATTTTGCTAAGCAATTAAATTACTTAAATTATTTGAATGCATGAAGGTAATATTCCTAAGCTCTATTCAAGATGTAACATGCTTACAAGATCAAAAGACTTAAGCTTATCTGTAGTATGTCTTCTTAATGTGACTTTACCTTAGCTACCTGGTTTACAGATGCTATATGAACTTGGATTTTAAGGTTTACTTCAGCTTCCTCTCCATTTCTGTCCACAGCTGGAACACTCAGGCTGGCCAAATGAAGTATTTTTAGCATTTTATTTTGCATATGCAGTGTTCACTCAGGAATTTAAAGGATGGTTTAATAAATGCTCATTATAAACTATAACGAGGAAAGATTAGGATTTTTCTCTGCTAATTTTTTGTGTCCATCAGTTTAATGCTTTTTAAAAAATTACTTCTCTCACATTACCTTACTAAACAGGGTGCTATAATATTGTAAATGAACAAATATTTGTATAGAGATATAAAACTTCAAATCCTATCTCCATTAATAATGTTGTTGAATTTAAGAAATGCTGGATCCACCATACTTATAATTTTGACTGGTAAGTATATGAGCATATATATAGACATTCAAAATAGCAATAACATTGGAAAGATAATGTGGGAATACTATAAAATGAATGTTTAATGTATTTAATATTTTTTTCTGAAATCCATTAAGTTTCATTCCAGTTTATTTCAATGAAGTCCAAATTTGTCTATTTATGTGGATTAAATGTTTTAATATAGAAAAAATATATAAACAATTCACAAGTCTATATTAGCATGGTATAAAAATTTTTACATGCAACAATCTTTAAGAATTTAAACAAATTGGAAAACATGGAAGGGTATAGGAAGAGTGTGATTCTAAAGTACCATTACTACTGGACAAATATTTTTGGAGGTAATACACTTGTTACATAGTGTTACTAAACCATTGAGATATAATCAGAAGACTGGAGAACTTTCTCCCTCCCAACACCTTTCTATAGTATAAAAGGAATCCAATAAAATGTTCTAAATATTTCCATTAAAAGTTAGAGATTATTACACAACCTCTAGTATGTTTAATTAGCTTCATTACATAGGCATGATTGATTACCTCATTGGCTATTGGCAATTGAACTCAGCCTCTAGCTTCTCTCCCAACCATGAAATCCAGAGGTGGGGCCAAAAGTCCTATTCTCTATTCCTCTTGGATTCTTTGAAAACCAGCACCCATTCTTTGGAGTTTCCAAAAGTTACCTTAATTAACACACAAAAAAAAGACCTTAATTACTCATAACATTTAGGAAATTCAAAGGGTTTTGGGAACCATGATCCAGGACCTGTGGATGAAGATCAAGTGATACAAAACTTATAAGCCACAATATTGCACCAACAACAATGAGGAAAATGGCATATTGACCACAGCAGACAAGTATGTTGGGTAAGTTTCTGGAAAGCTAATGGAAGAGTGATGAATGAAGCTGGTCTTAAAATTTGCTGAGAAGAGAACCAAGTTTCAGCACAGTAGAGAATTTGTCACCACAATCTTGGAATGTGTCCAATAGAGACACAGCAAATATGAGTGTGTATATCTTGTCTTTCCCTCTACTGTGTTTCTATTATATCAGTTTCACTCTTTGTGCTGCTCTAACACTTCTTTGAGTATGATTAAAGGTTACATTTAAAACACATTCATTTCTGTAAAGGTAAACTTGCAATGTAATATATATATAAGTTTTGGTACAATTATTATTAATAGCCAAGATTCCCCATGGAAATTCTAAATATTTTTGTATTAATTAATGCTTGAAGGTGAGCGATTGTATTATTATAAAATAAAAAAGAATCCCAAGTTATTATAAGTATTGGAATATTAGCTCAAGTTCTTTCCACAGTATAAGAAATTAATCCATAACACTTCCAATTTATGTACATGAAAAGACCTCATTTCACCACATGCCTCCTCTGAAATTATTGCCATTCAAGATGTTTTTTCATATGTTTGTTTTTACTTTTTTTTTTGGTATATGAAATACCTTTTTCAATGTATTTGCTGATAATGTGTGTTATGGGCTAAATTGTGACTTTCTCAGACTAGTATTTTGAAGTCTTAACCTCCAATACCTCAGATTGTGATTGTGTGTGGATGTGCTGCTATAGAGGTGATAGTGATGATATAAAGCCATCTGGGTGGGCTCAGTCTGATTTGTGAAGACACAGAGAGAAAATGGCCACCAGCAAGCCAAGAAGCAATGCGCTCAGCAGACATCAACTTTGTCCAACTCATAGATCTTGGATTTTAGACTCCAGGACTATGCAAGAATAAACTGTGTAAGCCACCCAGTCTGTGGTGCTTTGTTATGCAAGTTATATTTAACTAATGCAAAGAATTAGAGAAAATTAAAGATAGTAGTAGCGAAAATTTACCAAATCAGTCAGTGAAAATAAAACGATGATTTCATATTTTGCCTAGTATCTCAGTCTGGCGGTTTGAAATGAGATTCCTCTCCCAAATGACAATTGAGATAACTGGGTAAAGAAGCTATTTGAGTGCCATGTTCACAAAATTGAAATTCATGTTAAAATAAAACAACCCCTGATTTTGCATTTGTGCTCATTTCAGGACACAGAATCTCCCAAGTGTTCTTCATGCTGCCATTTTTCAGCTATACAATGGTTTTCAGAGGTAGTTACATTCTCTATCAAGATACAGAATGAATTAATTCCTTTAAGAATCATTTTGTCAACTTGAAGATATCTACATACAGCTTTTCACACCAAATCATGTTGTTCTGGCAAATCTGAAAGTTGCCATAATTATCTTTCCTTTAGTATGGTTATAACAGCACCAGCTTTAAAAAACTGCACAAATATTACCCAAAGCATATTGTTACATAACATGAATTTTCTTACGTAGTTTGCAAGGAGGAATGAATGGTAAATTTGGGGTGGTAGGAGGAGAAAAGGAAGTGCCCCAATAATGAAAACAAAAAGAATATATAATTATGGGAAACCATAAAAGGGGGAGAAAAGAAATGCAAATCAAATGGGCAATTGTCACAGCATCTAAATAATATAACAATTTTAGAGTAATCATTTAATAATGAATATGGTCAAATATATCAATCCATATTTTACCTGTTTTTCCTTTGTGTAAATTTTTAAGTTCATAAACTTGCAAATACACATATATTTAAAATGTTTCATATAAACAGCTAGATTTTGGCCCTATAGATAGGTCTATAAGCAACTTTTTTTTCTGTATATAGTTTCAATATTTCACCAGCCACTTAGAAAGTTACTTAAGAAAATATATTACTTTAGCTATTTTGTTATGTGCATTTTTAGATATTGTACAGTACACTTGAAGTAGTTTACTTGTGTGCTTATGAAATCTAATGTTTCTTAAAAATTCTCATCAAATTGAAAAAGAAAAATTCTGTATAGAAGAGCTGTATGGGCTGTTTATGTTAGAATTAATATAGATAATGAAGAAGCTACTTGAGCTCCAGGTAATGCTGATTTTGCATTTGTGTTCATTTCAGGAATCAGTCATTGGTTTGCATTTTCTGAAGCCCCTGATTTTTATTTGTTCAACAATGGATAATAAATATCATTTATACATGCTTTAAATTCATCCTATATTATATGCCATAGGTTTTTTTCATTTGCTTATTAGAGTACCACAAGATTGTAAGAAACTCTGAGAAGCTATATAATTTATTCCTCTTCTGATAGGTAAACTAACGGTACTTTTTCCCTTAAAAAAGTCTCATAGAAACACATGTTAAAATTGTATGTATGTGTGATGACTTAAATGACCTGGTGACTTGTTAAAACCAACCTTCCACACACCAGTAGAGTATTAAAACAAAAACAAGATTTATTTTAATGTGGAGTTTCAGCCCTGAGGCCTCTTTGTATAAAGAGGGACTTTTTAAAAATTTTCTTCTTTAACATTTTATTTTCTTGGAAAAAAAGTAACATATTAATGAACATCTTTCATATGAATTAATATTAAGATCAAACATTACTTTTCAAATTCAGGACTTACATATCGAATTTGATATCACATTTATTTCAATTTTCTGGAAGGGCAGGAGAAACAAATATGTTTTGGCATACAATTTAAAAAAGCAAAAAAAAAAAAAAGAAAGAAAGAAAGAAAGAAAACTTTGAGTGTGAAGATGGAGTTCAGGAAGAATTCTTCTTCTTTTCCTCAAAAGGAATCAGAAGTCAGCATGTTGCTATTGCTCTTTGACATAGACAATGTCTTTTTGTGTGTCCTTTTATCTCTGAATCCTGCCTTGCCATCACAGCAGAGTGTACTGTACACCACTTTAAATGATAAGAGTTTCAATAGGCACTTTAGTGGAATTAAGAAAAATCTAACACTCTTCCACCGTGATGCCACATAGCTATCTTCCTTCTAGGTTGTCATGTCAGTAGATTGTATTTATAGGCCTGAGCTTGTCTCAGTGTGTCTCTAAAACAACAAAACAAAACCAAGCACATACCTATTACAAGATTTATCTTGTGTTGGCAGAATAAACCAAAACTGACAATATGATAAACATAGCAACTTGCTAGAAACCAGAGATTCAAAGGAATCTTGTCCTAGAAAGCCTGGTGTGTAGTGTGTAGTGTGTGTAGTGTGTAGTGTGTGTGTGTGTGATTTCTATTTGTGTTTCTTCTTAACTTTCTCCTTTGCTTCTCCCCTAAGTGACTTTATCAGGGTTATAACTCTCTTCGCCAAACATGTCTGCCAAGACTTTAAAGCGGGGTCCCCAGTCTGCCAGAAAGTCGTAGTCCTGGTCGGCCTCGGTGGTGAGCGAGTCTATGGAGCTGAGAGACTCTGCTACTGAGCCGTTCCCTTCATAGGCATAGGTTGCCAATGAATCGTAGGGGGGCGCAGTAGGGTCCACATCATTTTCCTGCAGCCTCTGATGAATGAAATCCCTTATATCTGTGTTATCTTCCACTGGTGGTCTCTGGCGAGGTAAACAGAGTGAGTCTGGTTTTATATCCCTGCGAATTTTGTTCTCTTCAATCACTTTTGGATTTCTCAGAGCACCAATGTCGAAAGCCTGGGTGTCTTCCTCGCCACCCCCTTCGTCATCGTAATGGATGACGTTGTCTCGGATGTCTTCTTTGGAGGTCATCAGGGTGTCTTTTTTCTTCTGCCTTCGCAGAGCCACATACAGCACTACTATGGCTAGAACGAGACAACATCACAGTTTGAGACGATGTCAGTTCATCTCTCCATAAAATCAAAAATTGCCCAGGCTGAGTTTCTTTACTGCCATCCTATTCTTTTCAAAGTAAGCATGATAATCAATAAGGATTATGGACGTTTGCAATTTTTTTCATTGTCGAAACTCAGCTTCATTTTGAAATAGCAACTAACAGAAACCACAGCAAAGTTCCATACACAAATCAAACAGCAGTAGTTTTATATTTAGGAAATATTATACTTAAATATTTCAGTGTCAGGTAAATCATGTTTTAAAAAAAGATTGTTCTAAGCATACAGAGCTCAATAATGTTGATGTAATAAAAACTGAATCTTACAGCCCATCAGTAACACTTAGATATTAATCACAGATTTCCTAATTATAACATTACCTGTGCATCCAATGAAATAAACCAAAATACTCATGTGACAATCACTTTTAAAAGTAATAGGAAGGAAGGGGGGCAGGCAGGAGGAAAGAGGAAAATATTATTTTCTATATTATTCTGGAGGTAAAGGTAGGTATCTACATTTGTCAGAATATTTGGACAAATATAAAGATTAATATAAATGATTAATAAACATGCATATTTACACAGATTCCAAGATGCCTGGCTGTATCTATTGCAATTTGGATTTAAAGAAATGCCTTTGGGCAGAAAATCTCTATTTTTGTGAATCACACAGCAAATTAGTAAGTGGAATGGAGTCAGTTGAACAGAGCTGATGAAGGAGAAAGCCCCCTAATAAAGGTTTATATTCATTCTCACAAGGATGTTGCAGAATATATTTACTTCAATCCTTTTCCTTTGCAGTGCTTCTAGATATTTCAGTGTGCGCTGTTCTAATAAGAATGGTTAGAATTTTGATGTGAGGAGATATGAGAAAGTGGAATTGCTTCTGGCTGGTATTTTAAACAGAAAAAAAAAAATGAAGGTGCTTTTACATTCTATTTTTTTCCTGTCCTTTCTTTTTTCTTTTTCTTCATTATTAAACCCATACTTAATAACTATTGTTCACTTCATGTATTTCAATGAGGCTATATAGTCTCATATTAGAAAGCAGCAAATTCTAGAATACAAAACAAATTGAGAAATTACTGCTGCAGTTGGAATATTTACTATAGAAAATTTCATTATGGCAAGTGCCAGAACCTGTGTACTGGAAAATCCCCTAGAGCTTGAACGTATCTTCTGGATTTTTGAAGATATTATGTATTTATCCCTAATAGTACCTATTCATGAGGTATAAAATGGAAAAGAAATCTTATCATAATGCAATACAAATAATCTTTGTATCCAGATATCGCATGTCAACAGGAAAGATGGATTTACATGATACATTAAGAAAGGGAATAGAAAAGGGGAGAGAAAGTAAGAGCACAATCATGAGGTAGAGCAAGAACATGATTAATATTGAAACCAACCTAAGAGGATGATAATGCACAGTAGGATTGCAATCAAAGCGCCAGTGCTGAGTCCTACAGGTAGAAAAATTGCTTCCACATTACAGGACAAGATGGTACCATCAGAGTCACATCTACAAACTCGAATAGTCATCGTGTTTGTGCTGCTCTGGACAGGATAACTGCTGTCTTCTATTACAACAGGGAGGAAATACAACTCTTGCTGCCTGCGGCTGTATCCATTTCTTTGGGTTTCAATTCCAGCTGTGTTGTCTACAAAACATGACATTTATGATAAGCTGGTTACTATGAACTTGACTTCAAATCTTGAGGCTGGTATCTGTTAAACAGTAGGAAGCTCTTCTTGAATCAGTAAAATGCATCATGTATTAATTCTTTCTTTTATCATGATAAAAGCTGCAAAAATGTAACCAAATGAAATCAAAATAATCCTTAGGGAGAGAATCAACATTATTGTATGGTGTAAAAATTAAATTTTCTTTTCAGAGAAAATATAAAATGGTTTATAAGCCAAGAAATATGTTGTGTGTATCCATTTTTTTTTCTGACGTCAAAATCTGATTGAAAAAAATTACAATCCTAGGGATGTTTTCTTACATGACGGAAGAGAAAGATTACAAAGTATCCATCTGTAAAACATCTTACCTAAGGACCTATTCTTTAAAATATAGCAAATCTAAATTTACTATATCAAATTAAAACTTGATTTTTCCCAAATCTATATTTATATTCACACACACACACACATGCACACACTTTCACTTTTGCACATTTGAGAGTACAGGAAACATGGAAAGGAAAATAAAGTGGGTTAAAAACCACAAGATTCAATAAACATGTTAAACATCATAAGTTATAATAATCACCATTTTAATATAATTAACAAAAATAATTTTCACTCTAATAAAATCAACAATGTTAATACTTACATAGAGTAATCCAAGGTAATACTATTGAAATTGTACATAAAGGCAGTTTTTATTAAAATGAAATTTAATTTTATATAAATGCATTGTTATTCTACATTTTTTTTCTTATTTCTGCACATGGAAGTGTTGTTTTATTCACAACACTATTTCATTTTTGTGTCTATTAAATAACTGCTAGAAACATTTTGTTATTTTTAGATATTTATTTTATTATAGTCATACATAGTACCTACTTTGGAATAAGGTCAAGTAATTTTAACAAAAATACTAAAGAACAAATATATCAGAAAAATATTACTATTTCAATAAGATTCACTCTTATTTGTAGTTTATAATATTAACAACTAAACATTAGGCAGCAGCTCTATACTTATTTCAATAGGAATCACCAAGTTAAGGAAATTTTTCAATAAAAAAAACAGTCTGGCATAGAAAGATTCATTTGTTTTTATATAGAATATTATTTAAATTGAAAATGAAATATCAAGATGCCTAATGTCTATTAAAAATATTCCAATGAGAGTTGGTGGTGTCAGGTGCTTGTGGTGATATTAGATATGGAAAAATCATCACTAGTTGAATTAACACTGAAATTTTTAGCAGCTGATAGTTCACCCAAGTGTGGGAAAAAGGAACAGTCAAGAATGAAAACTTGAAAACTTGGTAAATATTAAGGACAACAGAAAATCAGAGAAGCTGGCAATATGCAACTTGGGGAAGAAAGAATTTGATGTTCTTGAACACAAGTTATATCAAAAGGCAGCCTGCTCTTTGTTTATGCTTATATTTCAATTTGTTATTATTGATATGTGACCATATCAATATTGTACTGTCCGTAGTCAGAATAAAAAAAATATATTAAACCTCATTTCTACATTTAAAATGGTTTTTATTATTGAATGAATAAAAAAAAGTACCCTATACATGCACACTGGAATATTATTCAGTCATAGTAAAGAAGGAATTCCTGACATTTGCAACAACATGGATGAAGCTATAGGATATTATGCTGAATGAAATAAGTCAGAGAAAGAAAAATACTGTATGCTATCACATATATAGAACCTAATAAAAGAAGAAAATTGGAATTAAGTAGAAAAAGAAGGCTGAAAAGTGGTTGCAAGTCCAGATGGGCTTGAGGGAGGATGATAAAAGTATAACACCTGCTAGTTATGATTAAGAGCTGAGGATATAATGTTTGAAGTGGTGAATGTAGTCGAGAAAATTATTTTGTATAATTGGAATTGCTGAAAGAATAAAGCTTAAATTTTCTGACAAGAAAAGTTAAATATGTGAGGCAAAAAAACTGTATCTCTTCAATTAAAAAACTTACACAGTTTAAGAAAAAAACAGAGAATATGTTCAATAGCATTTGAATAGCAAATAGATGTGCAGACTTTGAGAATATGCTGTGCTATTAGGCAAGATGATCTGGTTTATGCTATCATAATTAAGCTGATACAGTTTCTCCAGCAAAGATACAATGGTGGGCAGCAGTTAATACTTATGTTACTAAATGATTGACCATCCACCTAGTTGCCCAAATCTATGATCTAGAAGTCTGCTTAGTCTTCTTTTCCATCATAGTCACATATGGACTCTAGGGAACCAAGCATCAAGTCAGGAATTCTGTCTCCATTCACTTTTCGCTGTCTTTACAGACTTCAACCATTCTAAGACACTCTTTCCCAATCTCCACAATAACTTCAGAAGCAGTCTTATATTCCGCTAGTAATATTTTTTTTACACTGTAGTCAAACGTTTCCCTAAAACACAAATTTGGGTATGTTCTGCATTCTTATAAACCTTTCAAAGACTTCTTAAATCATTTCATTTAAGTTAAAAACTCTTTAAATGACTTATTGATAAGGTGACCACATGGTCAGGATTGTCCTGGACAGTCTGATTTTATAGGTGCTGTTTTTTGTTGTTGTTTTTTTTTTTTAAAGATTTATTTATTTATTTATTTATACAAGAACTGGGACACAGGCCAGATGCACGGGAGGGTGAAAGGATTCACCAGAGACAGAGTGGGGAACAGAAAAGGCAGACTGACTGAAATGCACTGCTGAGGGGAGCAGCGGGCTAGACAGGAGAGGTCTACCGCGCCATGTGGGATTGTCCCTGGCCAGCCAGATGGAACTGGCGCTGCAGAGGCTTTGGACATCTTCACAGCACTGGGCTCAACTGCCTGTGCCACCAGGGAGGCCCTACAGGTGTTGTTTTAAGTAAAATTAATAATGTTGTCAATTTCTACTTTTAGAAATGCTTTTTCATCAAAAAATGTTTTTTCTCTACTCTTCATATTTGCAACCCTGTTTCATTTGCAGTAATTCCTCATATTAGCAACAGAAAAGTAGACAGAAAGGACACTGATAATTTATATCAAAGGACCAATTATATACAATTTTTATGAAGCAAATTGTACTGTTTCTAACTGACAAAATGTGGAAACTCTGACCGCCCAAGAAGCTTCAGCAAAATAAGCTTTATCAAAACACACTTTGACTTCTGTCAATCATCATCCAGTATCATCGTTCATCATTATCCTCTCATAATAATTTGTTCATTCATTCTGTTTGCATAGAATTTAATAAAACTAGCTTTTTACCAACCAATTTTATAAAAAACACATTTTGTTAAATCTCATTTTTTATAGGACATAGAAACCGAGAGGCGAGAAATTACCAAAATTACAGAACTAATAAAGTCAGAGCCACTGACCCTTACTTACGCTTAATTTTCTAATCAAGTGCCATTATTATTTTAGTAGCTGTAATAGGGGCAGATGCAATAGTAGTAGTAGTATTAGTGGTTACTTGTTATTGTAGTGGTAGGTAGGGTAGAAATACAAGTGTAGACATGATGGTACAGGTAGTAGCTAAAATTATCTTAAAGTTAATATATTTTAGTCATTGTATTAAAGGATTTGCATACATTTTGTTATTTAGTGTAAGTACCCTAAAGCTTAGATTATTTAGTATAATTTAACACTTTTAGAACCTACCATTTAGGGAATAATGGAGTGTAACTACAAACTGATATTATTCTATTTGCAAAGGTTGTATTCTTAACCTATTTTGTACTGTAGGCTATTCAAATCAGTTACTGAAGTTACCTATTTGTATGCATTAATAATATGCCAGTGGAATAAAAACAGGAAATGTATTCAGTTTCCCAGTTAAGGCTTTTGTTTGCTTGACTCATTAAGGTACTGTCCATATTATAAATGGATTTAATTTGCCTCATTAGATAGTCTATATAGATTAAATATTTAATTTACCACTGACTATAGAATATTGTATTTCTCATATATGAATTACCATATTTTATGAACCAAGTGCTTTTTGGAAAAACACTGTCTACCTCTGTGTCCTTTTACGAAGTTACATGGTAAGAGGTAAAGTGTTATGTGGTTAAACTTACTTTTGAAATCACGGACTGTAAAATTTGGTTTGATGGCAGCTTCGGGTGATAATCGAAAAGAGAATTGCTGTCCAGCAGGTGAAAGATCTCGGTCTACAGCACTGACTATCTGAATTATCTGAAACAAAGTTGAGATAAAAGTTAAAGTCACTCAAAAATTTCAAAGGGAACTTCATATATCGGGCTAGTAATTAATGGAATATGCTTAATGGAATACACAAGTAACACATATGACAATGAGGATTCATATCAAAGGACCAAACATACAATTTTTATAAACAGTTTAGCTACACATTTACAGTTAATAATGGGAGGTACAATTTTAGGGTATGGGGTAACTCTAAATCAATATCTGCATAAGTCAAAAGCTAAACAACATTGAAATTTCACACGAGTAAGGAAAATAAAATTAAAATGCACTTGCTTGCATTTTAAATTAGAGGAAATAATTGTTTTCCAATCTAAATATGCAAATGCTTATTGGAAACAAAATATCTGATAATTTAAAAGTCTTGTATTAGCAAATATTCAGTATAGCTATGTTTGCGAGAATGAGGTTTATATTCATAAATAAATAAAATGATGAGAGCCAAGGGATGTATATCTGTTTTTGTTATTATGTTTATTTCTCCCCAATTGGTAAGAATACAAATTGTATTTTCATGGATAGACTGATTTTTAAGAAGTAGAATGCTCAGCTCTGTTTCAAAATTTTCCCTAAATTGTTCCCATAGTATGTATACCTTATAGTTAAAATCTGGATAAGAATTTGAGTTAAAAAAAAATAACTGATTTCTAGGAAGGTGTGTGTAGGAAAGAGAAGTTTGCTGTTCAGGTAATCACCCTTTTGGCAAATTTGAATTTTCAGAGAAAGATCTTAGAGATCAACTTCCGCATCCTGGTCTCAGTGGGCAAATTTGTGTCGTGTGATTTACACTGATGCCACTGAACATGTGATTTAGCTACTGTTTTTTTTTTTTAGGTAACTCTGGTTTAAAACACTTCGTAAATTTTAGGAATACCATCTCACACCTCTTCAAATATACAACACTACATGACATCACCAACAAATTTCTAAAAGCACCCTACCAGCTTTCAAGAGCCCCCCTCTGTCTGTTCCTCCCCGTTCCCCTCTGTTAACAACCATTTTGTTCTTAGAGTCTAAGGATCTATTTGGCTTTGTTCTGTTTGATCATTTACTTTGTTTTTGTTTGTTTTTATTCCACAGTTAAAACTCAATTGACTGTCATCTACCTTCCCATATAGTTGTGACCATTATTTCACACACATACACACACACACACACACACACACACACACACACACTGCAGAACTCTGAGTGACTGGTGCAGTATTAGTAATTTGTAATTTGACAAGTTAGTTCTCTAGTGAGAATTTCAGTTCCCTGTTTCTGTGTGAATGAGTTACACTGGGTCTATTTACCCATTAGAATTGCCAGGGATGAAACTTTCATTATTTAACTCCAAGGCCAGATTTCAGAAAGAGTAATTACTGTACACACTTTAAACCTTCAACTTTCCCTCAAATAGACCCAGCTGCTCAGTTCACTATATGACATCTGTAAATTATCTATGGACTGATACCTGTTAGTTTTTATTCCTTTTATTTGTGACATCTATCATATGGTATCATCATTTGCTAAATTAAATGTTTATAACATGAAAACACATCCAGAATACAACTTAGAATAAAGAAAATCCTTTTAGAACAGCACTAAAGTGGTGGGAATTTTGATAAATGGTAGTAATTTCTAGATTTGTTACTTGGGAGTTGTTATCATAAGGAAAACAAATACTATAAACATCTTTACTGAGTATAGGTATATATGTACATATATAAAATTTTGCTTTTCTCTATAATTTAGAAGTTAGTTACAGCATGCACACATACATATAAACATATATCATACATCAATTATAGTCCTGAGGAGAGAGAATTCTGCGCATATTTCTTAGGTAAAGGGGCAGAATGGAGAATGGCTAGGGCCAAAAAGCAGAAAATGCTCATATATTGTAATCCCTGGAAACTCAAGAGACATTTCAGGGCTATGTTTTGTGATGTTTCAGGACTATAAACGTGACCCAGTATGCCACAGAAAAATCTAATGCCAAAAGAATTCCTGCTCACCATTTTGTATGGTTATAAAAACATCAAGTTATAACACCTTATAACTACTATCCCCATATTTAAAAACTCTTTTAATTCTACGACAAACATAGAAACATTCAATGAAGTTCATTTTATAAAAAGCTTTCATTTAGTGCATTATGAGATTCTGACTGATATGCAATAATGCCCCTAATTACCTTTATGAAAGCATGGAAGAAAAATAAAAAATATTCTGGAAGAATGCATTCTGAATTTGTGTACTACCTGGGTTTATAGTCAAGCTCTTTAGAAATTCCAAATTAAAGGAGTGGGGAACATAGCAGACCCTATGATCTGCTATAACTACTAAGACCACTTAGTTAGACAAGGAATATTCACTAGGTCATCATCACTTTATTCCTCTGGTATCATTTCCACATACATGCACATGCAATAATTTATACTTGTTTACTCTCTTTTATGGTTTCTTTTACAAAGACATGATCTGAAAAAATATATATGTACAGAAAAAGCATATAGTGGGTCTTTTTATATTCTTGATTAACAATACCTGTCCTGGTTTGGCATTTTCACACACTGCTGTCTCATATGGCACAGATATTTCTGGAGGAAATTCATTGACATCTAGGACATTAATCAATATGTTGACTTTACTGGTTAATAAAGGGTTACCTGTTGAAAACATAAAAAGAGAAAGTATGGTAGCAAAATCTGCTCAGTTATTACATTAGTAAATAGAATTTTTTTTTTAGATCAGCTTTCATACAGAGTCCAAATGACCCTTTCTTTACACAAAATTCTGAGGTACAATGAATCAGTGTGGCATCAATGTTTCGCTGTCAGCATTAGCAGTGCACAAGGCCAGTGTTTGTCCCTGAAAATCATCACCAAACTTAAGGTTAGCACAATGTTTAAGCAGGTAATTAATCACAAGTGTAGCTATCACATCAGTTTATTCCACTTATTTTCACCAACAGTGTTATTTTTCATTATATAAAACACATTCTTTTCTATCTTGTATCCATAATTTTATTGAGTTGAATAATCCCAAAGAGAATAATAAATTATATGGAGAATGAAAAGAGAGGATGTTCCCTAAACAACAATTTACAATAACAGATTAAGGAAGAAGTAAAGAGATAGATTATGAAAAACAAGGGTGGTCTCTCAAATGATTTGCTGGTGATAGAAAAGAGAAAAATAGCTTTTTCGTACAATATCAAAAAAAATATTGGCTTGAAAAAATTGCATCTGCCAACATCTTACCACAAGTTTTAACCCAAGTCTATGACTTATTATCCACATTCCTGTTATTTCTGGTGAAGACTTGGAGTAGACATTTTTTTAACTGAGGTAACATTGTTTCGAAACACTGTACATGGGTTTAAGGTATAGGATCACATGCTTCAGGTGTATGTTGCCACACCAATTCCACCACCTTGGCACTGAAGGCCTCCAGAGTGCATTGTGCACCAACCCCACTTTGCTCTCACCTGCCAGCACATCCATAGCCTCATAACAATTCTAGGGTTTGTTACCAGTTTGCTTTTATTTGACTCTTTGTTTCTCGATATCCCACATATAAATGAAACTATCTGGTATTTGAATTTCTCCTCTGAGATTTCTCTCAGCATAATTCCCTCTATTTTTCATTCATGTTGTCACAAAAATCCATTTACTTTTTAATAGTTGAGTAGTATTCCTTTGTGTATATAGACCATGTGTTTCTGGTCCACTCATCTGTCTTTGGGCATTTATGTTGATTCCATGGCTTGTTGAAAGATTTTACCCATCTAAAGAATGTGGAGTAATGATTCAAACCTAGGACTGTAGAATCCCAAATACCATTTCATTCCATTATACCTTCTGCAGTGGTTGCTTTATTTGTACGTTCTCCACCTGCAGTGCTTGCAAAGAGTCACAATATCAGTATTCCTTTACACCTCTATCTGGATTCTTTTAAAAATACATCTAGAATCTCACTACATGGCTGATTCTGACAAGTCTACAATATCCTATGCTAAAATTTATTAAAAAACATAAAACTGTAAGCAGAAGCTTAAGAAATGGTCACATATTGCCATGTAACAGTGAAATCCATCACTGTGTATCATAATAGACACAGACAAGTAAAATAAGGATAAATGATATAACTTACAATGTGAAATGGGTTCATAAAAGGTATATTGAGAATCTTAGAAAAGCATGTAGAATATATCTACTTTTGAAAAAATATTGATAATATATGGCATTGTCTTATTTGACCAAAAAAAAAAAAAAAAACACCTTTGGCTCAGTTTTCACAAGTTATTTAATCAATAGTTTTGTTATGTTATTTTTTTTTATAAATTATTACAAACCTTTTGGTATATCATGGAAGGGAAGGGACAGTAACCTCTACTCCCAGGGACCATGCAGGAACTTGTCCCACTTGGCCCTTAAGTGTACAGCTGCTTTCTGGAAGTGAGATGCTCACCCCAACAGCTTTTCACTGCTGCAATATATATCAGCTAGCTCAAGGACAAGAAGACACATTACCTGAGATCTGTCATATAAATGGTGATCACGTAGCTTCAGCGAGTCACAATTATCCTGTAAACTAGCCTTCATGCTCTCAGGAAGGCCAGGTTACATTGCAAAGTCAAAGTACTGGATTTTAAAAATACATTAAATATTAAAAATAAATATATTGGCCAAATGAGAATGTTTCTAACAATCAAATGAAAAGTGTAATTGTGAATGTTTTGAAAACTGTAAACAAATACAAGGATCCAGTGTTAAAACACACGGGAGCTATTAGTTTTCCTAATATGGAAATGACATCTGCTTTGAATAACGATAGAAGTTAAAAAATTCAATTTTGTGACTGTGTATTAAATTGCAACTACAATAATTTAAAGGATGCTATCTTGGCTTTTTATTGCAAAAAACTGAATTATAATGAAGCCAAAGCAAGATATAATAAATAAATAACAGAAGTTTACTTTGTTGTTTCTGTTTATATTAGTTCACTTTTAAATTGCAAGTTAACATAAACTATATCTAATAATGACTTTTCAATTACAGTAGCATGATCTATAGCTAGACTTAGCAATCTGTAAAAAGGATTTAAATTATTTTTATATCTTTGTACTAACATCAAATATTATTTCCTATGCTTTTGTTGACAAAAACTGATCTCCAAAGAAAAAGAAATCTTTTAAACTACCACTAATCAATTACTTTTCCGAAGAAACAGCAAGGGAAACCTGTCACTGATTTTTTTTTTTTTTTAATAGAGGCATGTTTTATTTTATTTATTTATTTGTTTGTTTGTTTGTTTTGTTTATACATGCACTGGGCACAGTCAGAAGCGCGGGAGGGTGAGAGAATTCACCAGAGCCACAGCGGGGAGCAGAGCAGGCAGAAGGACCGAAGGACACTGCTGAGGGGAGCAGCGGGCGGCAGGAGAGGTCTGCGCGCCATGTGGGACCCTCCTCCGGTGGCCGGGGAGCAGCCGGGGATCGAACCGGCGCCGCAGAGGCTGCGGGCAGCTTCGCAACCCAGCGCTCAACTGCTGCGCCACCGGGGAGGCCCCTGTCACTGATTTTAAATATTAACAATAACAAAAAGCCTTAGACATTCTGACTTCCTAGAAAGCAGGAATTGTGTCATATTCATTTTTAAAATCTCAACATTTAACATATAGCCTAGTTCATGCTAATAATTGAATATATCAGTGAATAAATATGCTTTCATAGACAGAATGAACCAAGCAACAGATATTTTAGATTCAGCCAGTATAACAGGAAACCTCAGTGGGTCACAACACCATGAGAGTCAATTTATTTTATTTGAATTCACCAACTATCGAGAAGACAATTTTAGATGCCATTTACTTTATGTTAAATTATCTATAATTTTAAAAAAATTAAACTCACGTGACTTATCATCACAGCAAAATTAAATTAGTGTTCTGAAGGCACATCAAACCTTGTCAATTTGATAAAAAGAAGAGGAACTTCATTTTCATATTTTTTTAAAAGATTTATTTTTATTTATGCATGCATGCAAGAATTGGGGTGAAGGGCAGTGGTGGGAGGGGTGAGAGGATTCACCAGAGACAGAATGGGAAGCAGAACAGGCAGATCTACTGAAATACACAGCTGAGGGGAACAGCAGAGAGACAGGATTGGTCTACTGTGCCATGTGTGTATCTCCCTGGCCAGGGATCAAACTCATGCAGCAATAGCTGGTGATAGCTTGATAGCGCTGAGTCTTTAACCCCTGCGCCACCAGGGAGGCCCAGAAGAGGTGATTTTATACAAGGAATTAGTAGGTGTCTGTCATTAACCAACTTAATTAATGAAACACATACATGCAAACCCACAATAAACATCCATAATTACATATAATCCTGTATTCATCATAACCAACTAAGTATAGGAACAATGAGAGTCAAATGCACCAAATACAAATCTATGCTTTATCCTCTATCCCACCCTTTCTCCTATGTTCCTTATCAAATTAGCTGACCAAGTTATTTCTGTCTCCTAAAAAACTCTGTTCACTTCTACCCATTAGCATCTTGCTTGTTTTCTCTCTTTCTGCTTGACCCTTGCTCTTCCCTTAAACAGCTTAAGCACATCATTGAATATGCTTCACACTCATTCACTCATCGTAATGTTTACGTCAATATTCCCAATTGTATTTTTCCAACAGAAATCTCTTTTCAGACCCTGCCCAGTATACAGATTACATGACTACTTGTATTAGCAGCAAGCATATCAAATTCAACCTGTACAAATTTTAACTCACAATCTTTGGCTAATATTGATGCTATGGCTTCTAATTCTATGCTTCCTGTCACAGTTTTATGATGCCTTCAGCCATCCTGTCATCAGTAACTCGACTCCTAGTGGGGACTCCTCATTTATTTTGTTTCGATATCCAATAAATATCATCTCTCAACATTTTTCTCTTTTAACTTTCTCTCAAATTTCTCCTTTTTTTGTATTATCCTTGTGATACTCTAAAAGTCACCAATATTTTTCTCTTAGATGACCATGAACTCTTTCTACTATGTTGCTACATTTCTCCAACACTTCAATTCTTTCACAATTATGCAACTAGCATAAATCTCTAAAAATACTAGTCAAATCAAGTGCTGTCTTTAATTATTATTTTTAATTTTTTTAAAAGATTTTCTTTATGCGCACAAGAACTGGGGTACAGGTCAGAGGTGTGGGGGTTGGGGGGTGAGAGGATTCACCAGAGACAGAGTAGGAAAAAGAACAGGAGGTTTGACTGAACTACACTGCTGAGGGGAGCAGCGGGCACGTCAGGAGAAGTCTGCTGTGCTATGTGGGTAGTTCTCTGGCTGGGGTTACGTGCTGCAGTGGCTGCAGGTAGCTTCATAGGCTGTGTTTCAACCCCTTGACCTACCAGTGAGGGCTCTAATTGTCATTTTTAATGTTCATCTATTTACTTCAGGATAAAAGTAAAACCTCATAATATGCTCAGAAAAAAATGAAAGCTTTTGCATTTCTTCTCTGGGTTATGTTTATTAGTGAAGAAGGTGGATAAGAGAGATAAGGAGGAGGGAGAGAGAGAGAGAGAGGGAGAGAGAGGGGGAGAGAGAGAGAGAGAGAGAGGAATATAAATGAGAATAAGAATAACAAAGGAGCTCCACCCACCTCCCATACCGAATTACTTTAAGCACAGGACTATGAAGCTATCTGTAGCCTCTGCAGCATGAGTTCGACAAGGCAGGCCAGGGAGCAACCCACATGGCACAGCAGACCTCTCCTGTCTCGCCCGCTGCTCCCCTCAGCAGTGTATTTCAGTCAGTCTGCCTGTTCTGTTCCCCATTCTGTTTCTGGTGAATCCTCTCACCACCACTCCCTCCCCGCATCTCTGATCTGTACCCCAGTTCTTGTAGGCATAAATAAATCTTTAAAACAATTTAATTAGCTTGCAGCTTAACCCCAAGGTATAATATATCTGCACATAATATCTCCACAAGTATAGCATTTAGTTATCAATTCACTGATCTTTACCTATTGCACAATGAATGGAAACATTGCAATGTCATCTGTATGACTAACATGACGAAGAAAAAAATATTTGTCTCTACAATCATCTATTTTTTAATTAAATAAAATATGCTATAAGACTTTCATGTAGCAGTTTTATTTTTGCTTAATAATATTTGTTATAGGAAGACCAAAAATAATTACAAGTATTGCCATTGGAAGTTTTTGATAATTTGAATGAAATGAACTTTTAGAACTTCTTGCTCTTTTAAAATTCTCAAGATTAGTATCACAAAAACAGCAAAGCAATAATGTGTAAAAGAATTATTAGGAGTCTGATAAAATGATCGGGGACTCTAGCAACTCTGATTAATGACTGCTTTTTAATTAATTGGAAGTTGTTCAATCATTGTACCATTTCATTTCACATGAGAATTTTTGAAGAAAGGTCAGAACCAAAACATATGCTAGTTCAATCTGCAATAAGGTATATACTTACACAATTTTGTTCTTCCTGGGAAGGCATGTGTGAGCTATTTATTTCTCAGTCATTCCCTAGTTTCCTGCTTAGCTGGCCAGGAGGATCAATGGAAACTGCTTGAGTGTTAGAATATGAATAAAACTTACTTTTAAACTCTGTGGATTCAAATGAAACAAGCTATTTTTATTGCAGAAACGTTCATGATCTGCGGTGTGTGTTTAGAATATTTTGCACATATGTATATTGTCTGTCCCATCAGAATTCCTTGAGGCTCTAAAATCTACACATTGGTCTTTGAATAGTTACTTCAGTGGACCAGGAATAGATATTCTAGTAATATCTTGATATAATGCTTAGATTTTGTATATATATGGATTATTCATCTAAAGTTCCAGTTTTGATGTGGCCCAGTGAGGTTCGATTTAACTTTGAGAATCCATATACTAGGGGTTCCTAATTTGCATATAAACAAAAATTACAGTCAGTGTGTTGGAGTGGCAGAGTCAGCATGTGCCCTGGTCATATTTTTAACAAAATAAATAGGAGTCCCTAAGTTTGAAAAATCTAAAACTTGCTTCCACTGTCAAATGCATACTTTCCTTCCATTTTCCAAATGGTGGAAATTCAAGGCTATGACAGTGGTACCTAACCTGCTACACCCTGTGCCTTTTCTCCATGGTGATGGTTGTGGTGGGAAGTGGACAGAAAGAGGCTCTCCAGAGCTACTGTACAGATGACTAATGAATTATCTGCGGTGGGGGCCCACTGCTTCCACTTTGAAAAATATGCATTCAAGGTCTCCCTGGTGGTATAGGGGTTAAGTCCCAGCACAATCCAGCTATTGCCAGCCACTGTGGCATGAGTTCAATCCTCAGCCAGGGATCTAACAAAGATAGCACAGCAGACCTCTCCTGTCTCACCTGCTGCTCCCCTCAGCAGTGTATTTCAGTAGATCTGCCTGTTCTGCTCCCCACCCTGTCTCTGGTGAATCCTCTCACCACCCCGCACACCTCTGGACTGCACCTCAGTTCTTATATGCATGAATAAATAAAATAAATCTTTTAAAAATATGCATGCATTTTGTGTGTGCATGAAAGAAGATTAATAGGAAGATTTGGATAAGACTGTTTTCTAATAAATATTTTTGTAGTGGACAACATGCCTTTAACATGTAGGAATTATTTTAAGAGACTGCTTGTTCAGTTGTCTTTATGTCTGAGGCATGGGAGAGAATGTAATTTATTTCAAAGAGATCTTATAACTTAGAAAACTCATTTTCACTATACTTGCCAAACACCTTAGAAAACTAAAATTTATTTCCTAACTACAATATGGTTAAGCTGTCCTCATCACTCTAGCTAACTGAAATAATTTAATGTTAGCTTGAAAGTAATGATGAATAACATATGTAACTATAACAGGATGTGGTACAGGAGGAGGAAAGATTCCAAGTGTGAATGGAGATTTCAGGAAAACAACTTAAAGAAAATGGAGGGGGGCGGGCAGGTGCTCTCCTATAAAGGAGAAACTGACATTCTGTTCTCCTGATAATATATCTTCTCTGGCACTTGATTTGTTGATCTGTTTTCATAGACTATTTGAGCAAGGGTTCAGATTTGAAAGGAGATGGCAGAACAGAGAAACAGTAGAGGTGTAGCCTGTGGTATACCTGTAATGGACCTTTATTGGATGTGTGATGGACCTGGATAGCATGACAAGGATGTGTGCACTTCCTCAGAATCAAGTAGACAGAGCAGAAAGCTGAAATTGAGACATCATACTATGAACTCACCTACACACTCTGCCCGGAGTGCACGGGAACCCTAGGTTTAGGACGCCATAGACAGTCTACCAATGGGTACCCATGTCCAGTTCCTATGCAGATGGAACCTGTGCCACACAGAAAATAGCTCCAAACATGTTCAAAAAGAGAACTTGGGCAGCTCATTTGAACTGTAAAAGCAGTAGAAACCAGTGACACTGTCTGGGACAGATAGAGATTTTGCATTTTTATTTTGTTCTCTCTTTTCACTCCAATAGATTACTGGAACACAAAATGTTGAGGTTGAAAAAATTACAATTTTAGTAGGTCCATAATTTTGTGGGTAGGAATCTAGGCAGGTTATATGCCTGATTTCATGTGGTGCCAACAGAGAAGGTGCTTATGGTGTTCAACTAGCAAGTTATGTGGAGTGGACATTCCAAGATTTGTTCTCTCACATTTGCTGCATGCTGGCAGGTAAGGGGGGAAGGCTGAGCTGTACTGGAACTGTCAATACAGAGGACAAACCTGTGTCCTCCCTAAACGGCAGTCTCAGAAAAGACAGCTTCTTTCCATGAAGGTCAGTGTTTCAATAGCAAGATAGAAGCTGCATGTCCTTTATGCTAGACTTACCTTTAAAAATCAGAATAATCTAAAAGTCGTGAAATCAACTACAGACACCACTAAGCTTGGGAATAGGCATCTGATTATTCATATTTGGAAGCAGTTGTTGAAGATAAACAAAACAGTTTCATATTTACACCCCACTGAGTTGAGACTGATCAAAACCCCTCAACGGGAATGTTTACACTTAGCTCTTCCCTGCATTGTAAGGTGAATTAGCTGGGAGTATTTGTGCCAGATGCACAGAATGAAATAAGAAGGAAATAAAACGAAAGATACTCAGAAGGAATTTCCCTATACCTATCAAGATGCCTTAAATGAGGGACTGGTAAAAGTTTTTCTGCTAAAAACAGCATTAATAGACAAATGTCACCACTCCATGCTAAGCTGTCACCTTAGAAGTTGTGATAATATCCTTGACTGTCTAACTAAATGAGACCTATAGTGGCTCTCCAGCTAAAAGATACTCTTCTCAACAAAGCAGAAATCAACATGAAGAATCATTCCCACTGACCCACAGATCCTGAACAATCCATTGAATTACATTTGAAAGCCCACAGCGATATTCATAAAAAATCACATTCTAATGAAAAGAGAGTAAAGAAGGGGTCATTCAAAAGGTGTTTATGATTTCAGCAAATATTTCAGAAGGGGTGATTTTACATGATAATTATTTCCTCCCGCCAGGCTTGTGAGGTTCCCAGAAACATATACAGGGATTCATTGTGGAAGAGAAGTTGAAATTCCCAGGCATTTTTGAGACTCCAGCATGGAAAGGCATGAGGTCACGCAATGAAATGCATAAGCAGATATTCATGCAATCCCGCAAACAGACCTCACTGGCAGCTGTCACAATTTCTCTGGACTTATGCTATGAGGAAAGGGAATAGGTTTCTGAGTTTCCCCAGGAGACCACTCAGCTGTCAGTCCAGAAATGAAAAACACCTCAGCAGGGACTCGTTTAAGAGTGTTAAATCCAAAGAAGTGCAGTATAACATCGATTCCACCCAGGCCATACTTACTAACTTTACTCGCAATTATGGAGAAATTATACTGCGCGGTGCTTTCTCTGTCTAGTAATTCATTAGTGGCGATGGTTCCTTCAGTTCCATCTACTGTAAAGTAGCTGTCCCCATCACTGTTCCAGTCTATGAAGTATCTGCGTAGAAAGAGAGTAGATGCAAATGTGCAATGATTACACATTAATCATAATGGCAGTCAGGCTAACTTGACACAGTTCCTTATTTTTCTCCCTGTAGCTATTACCCACCTTGCAATAAAGAAGAGTGTAAATGACAGCTTCTTTATTGCAAAGTCAGTATGCTCAAGGGAAACTGGAAATAATGAAAGATTTAGTACTCCTGCTGTTCATATTATTTTAGGGTCTTGACACCTTGAAAGCTCAGCAGAGACTGAAATTCTAAAGCTGACCATGGGTTTCTTTAACCTGCTGAATATTAAAACTTTTTCAAGCAGTAAAAGATTCCTTAATGGTGGTTTTGGGAAGAGCTGGTGTGAGGCAGGCACCTGGAAACAGATACAAAGAACTTTGGCCAAAACTGAGGAAGAATCTTTGTTTCCATGGGGAGAGCAAAAATAAAAACAACATAGGTTAGAAACTAAGAAAACATTTTTAAACTGACAATGTGTTAATTGTAAAGATATTTTCCTCAAACACATATAAAATGATCACAGTTGTTTCATGACTATCTATCATAATAGCTTTAATAAACAGTGACCTTGGCTGACAATGCCTCCTTAATTTTTTTTTATTAGCCAACCTATCTTGATAATAACTAATAGTGTCTTCATGATGTGAAGTCGGACTACAAAATCAAAGGAAAGAATATAAGCCAAAAATTGTGTTTATATAAGTCTTTAAGAAGCAGTAGATAGGGCCTCCCCAGTGGCGGAGGCAGTTGAGTGCCATGCTGTGAAGCTGTCCGCAGCCTCTACAGCGTGGGTTCGATTCCAGCCAGCTGGCGAGAATCCCACATGGCACAGCAGACCTCTCCTGTCGTGCCCACTGCTCCCCTCAGCAGTGTATTTCATCAGTCTGCCTGTTCTGTTCCCCACTCTGTCTCTGGTGGATCCTCTCACCCTCCTGCACATCTGGCCTGTACCCCGGTTCTTGTATAAATAAATAAATCTTAAAAATTAAGAAGCAGTAGATATATGTTTATTTTTAACCCATGTTTCCAATCAGATTAACAATAGATATTTTGAAATCATACCATGTGCCATTGTTCTAGATGCTAATATATCTTATTAAATCTCATAAAGGCCTCAATAGTAAGCATTAGTAATCTCTCCATTTTGTAGATCAGGAATCTGAATTATAGGGACACTAATGGATTTGTGCACATTCACATAGCCAGAAAGTTTTAGAACTGATATTTGAACCAGGCACCCACGTTTTCTATAAAATTATCATGTGTCATACAATTTAAATAGAACATTTTATGTGAAAGGGTGCTGTGAATCAAAAGGCTCAATGCACAGTTTATCACCATTTTTCTAGCCTGCGAATCAAGGTGAGGTCATGACAAACTGTGGCGGAGAGCAGATGACACCATGGTTATCAGTGCCAGGCCAATGAAAGTGATCCCTTGTTTATTTTGAAAAGTTAGTTGAGATGTCTATTTCCAATGCAAGCAATGATTTTGACAGCTTGGTAATTCGAAACTAGAACAGTTTGCATGTGATCTCAGTGCAGATCAAAACTCTGCGTTTATAGATGAGATGTGTGTCTCCTAACTTGCCAATATTGTTTAGCAACTGATTTCTAAACTTGAAGATGCAAATAGTAAAGGATCAGAGCGTCAGCCATGCTGTTGATTTGTCCTTGACATTCCTGTTGCTGATTTGCGGGGTGAGAAACCATCAATGCTTTGTGGTTTTCAATGCAATATCACTCATAGGTATGTTCTCAAATGTTATAAATAAATTTAAGTAATATCTGAAAGAGGGCACGGAGATATAATTAGCTTAGTTCTCCCTATTGTCTATTCTCCTTTTCTGTGGATTAAGATATATACAAGTAAGTATGTTTCCGACCAATGAAGATCTCAGCAGGACATAGGCACATACACACATGATTTCAATGTCTGGTAGAAGGACAGAGAAGACAATATAGAGGGCCCAACAAAAGTCATCTTTTGGTTCAGGTAAACCTTACTGCATACGATGTTTGGCTGATATTAGAAGGCCTTATAAGCATAATTAAGAAGAGAAATGCAGATTAAAGGAGAGAAAAAAACTATCAGGAAGTTGTAACAACAAAAGCAAAACTATGGAGATGGTGTAGGGTATTGCGTCAGGCAACACCACAGTGATAAAGAAAAGAAACAGAAGTCATGGAGCAGGCAGTAGGAAGCAGGATGCTGACCTTTTTATTGATAAAGAAGTGTGGGTCAAACTGGACACTGGACTATGGGCTTAAGGGAGGGTGAGTATACACCCAACTCCCACCCATGGCTCTAATCTCATTAACAAGGTGTTCCACTGATCAGTTCCTGGGCCACAAGACACATCAGTATTGCCCCAGGGTGATCAAGCAGCCCTGCCTTGTACTACACCCACAGTGGGGAACTAGAAGTTGTTAGGAATTACAGGAAAATACCTAAGATTATATGTATTATAATTTACATATGATATGTAATCTGTTTATCACTTATGTAGTCAAGTCCAATAAAACATTGTTTTAATTATTTCTTTTATAATTTTATAGCTATTAAAAATGAAAAGTAATGGAAAGCAAGTGTTTGAGGAAGAGCTTCAGAGTTCTGATTTGTGAACTTTCTTTTGCCCTGGGGAATTCTTGGGGCCCCTGCGAGGCACTGAATAAAGGCAGAGGTGGTTCTCATTTTGACTCTCCAATAATGGCACTGGCAGTATAGACAGAGTGTGTTTGGGTCATATATTATCAGTCCTCTGGGAGCAGAACATGCACCTTATACATGGGTTTGGGTGGAGGAAGTTAGCTGAAAACCTCACAGACACACTCACAGGAATTTAGCCTCTGAAACTTGGCAGAAGAGGGAGTGAGAAATGCCACCATCTTGCCTCTCCTAAGAAGATATTCTACCCATTGACTGGATGCTGAAGGGAGGGAAGGCACGTTTTCTGCAGGATTCCTGCCCAAGTAGCCTTACTATCAAGCTGAGCTGGGAGATGGGAATGGATGGGTAGCCACAGATACTGGTCCAGTGCCATAATCTCTTGGTATTCTCTGTCTTGCTTTAGTGGATTTTCTTCAATGAATGTTTCTCATTTACTATAGGCCTCAGGAAATTTGTTTAATCTTCTGAGCATATTTTTCACCATTTTTGCTTTTTTTCACAGGTGATCATGTCCGCAGAGAGCCTCCTCATACTGCTGTTCTTTAAATAGAACCCTCATCCATTCCTGGATTGACTTTCTATTTTCATTCACTCCCATTATACTCTATGCTGTTTTAAGAAGTTTTTCTTTATTTGTATCTTTGCAAATCTCTGCAATGAAATCATCCCTATTCATTGCTATAGAGCATTCACTTTTTATATAAATGTTGGCAGATGTAAGATAATTTATACACTTTCTGTGTATAGGGTGTTTTTCTTATCCAAGCATCTTTGAATTACTTGAGGCGAGCTTCATTCACTTCTGTGCTACCAAGGTCCAGAGATGTTATTGTTATTTTTTTTTTTTAAATAACAACCAGTTACTTAAATGTCATATTAGATTCAAAGCACAGTTCAAGTTTTCTCTGCCTATAAAATAGTTACATATTTCTACTTCAAGGAAACAGATTCAGGGCTTTCAAAATATCTTATCTAGGACAATCAAATCTTTATGGTTACTGAGGACATTCTCACTTTCAATACTAAAAGTTCTCAGGTCCAGAAAACTTCTTAGTCCCATATAAAATTGAGACAATTGATCACCTCGCATATAGTTAATATGTAATGCATATGTTATAATTTCCAAAGGTCATGCAAGTAGAAGGCTGTCCATGTAGTAAACCACTATAGACACAGGTCATTTTATTGACATTTTGTTTTCCTGATGAAAATTTTAAAAACTCAGGAACTTACACACTGCATACATAAAATAATGTCTCTATTTGTTTTATGTTTCTGCATATCTATCAACCAAAATCCAACATCTTGCGAGTTAGTAAATAAATTTATTTAGTCAGTTCAGTCTACCAGTGACATAGAGTTTGCACTCCATAAATCAAACCACTGAGATTCGATGAAAGATAGCATGAAAAACACTAACTTTTTAGACAGAAAGAACAAGTGTTATATACCAATTCCTTTAGCTTCCTTGTGCAATTAGGTTACATTTTTTCCTTCTAATGACTATTTTCTTGTAGATTTAAAGAAACAAAACTCTTGCTCACCTACAAATTCTTGCTTAGTTCTTGGGCCAAGTGGTGGCATACTTAACCTTCAACTAAAAAATACCTGATATCCAAAACACCCATGCAAACCCCTGACTTATGAACTATGCACCAATAATCAGTCACTGTTTTCACAAAATGGTGCTCACTGCTTAATGGCACCCAGTTTTTAGCTCTACCAATTTGTGAAGTTTGGTACCTCCCACTCTATAGAAACCCTCTACCTTCTTCCGAGTATGGCTGAAACTTCTTTGAACATGCTCTACCTAGCTAACCACTTTCGGAACCTATAACTTGTCATTCTCCAAGACTGTGTGTCTCAAATGAGGCCATAGAACTTTCCTGATGCCCTATCATGATCCCTACACTGGCTGAACAATAAATATGCGTCAACAACCCCCATCTCCTATTGTGACATTCTACCCAATATAGCAATTACGAATATTTATCAAAAATGGTCATTAATGAACTGACAATGAAAACACTCTTCATTCCTGTCTATTTTCAGAGAAGATATAATCCATCTTTAAAATATCTGATCATAAGGAGATACATCCTCTCTCTAGTGAACCATTAAATGTTTACTTTATGTTTATGACACTTCACATCCACCCCAAGGGAAGAGTGATATATTAACTGGAATTAATCACAACATTATAATATGAACTATCTGATTTTTTAAAATATTTATTTTTTTTATTTATACATACAAGAACCAGGGTGTAGGCCAGAAGTACAGGGGTTGAGAGGATTCACCAAAGACAGAGTGGGGA